GCTACATGAAATGCAGTAGGCAGGCTTTCATGGAGAAATCACTGTTGACTGGTTAGTTTACTATGGAAAATATTGAGTTCCAAATAAAGATTCTTGAGAGGTTGGGACTTGGTGATGTTGGAATGTAGAAGCAGAATTATTCAGAAATTAGAAAATTTTCTTTAATTCAATAATAAGATCGTATATATGTTCTATGTTATATTAAGAATAATTGATTTGAACTTTTACCTAAATTTGATTATTAGTTTTTAAATTAATTCTGAATCACGAACTTGCAGTCTTTTTAATCACGAGCTTTCAGCCTTTTAATATCAAGAACTTGATGCTTCAAACCTCCAAGTCTTCTATATTATTATCCAAATTCAAGATTACACTGATGGGTAGACATTTTCTTTTAATTAAATTAAAAAACTAATTTTTTTTACCTGGACAATTGAATAAAGTAAGAAAATAATTATTTTCTCTCTCCAAATTTGAACACTATGGAATTATATATATTATGATTGTTGTAGCATTTCTATCCAATCCCATTGGATGTTTAGGTTCTATCCAATCTCTATTTATAAAGATAGAATAGTATCAATTATTGTACAATAATAATTCCACATTTAAATAAGAGTTCTAAGTAAAAATCCAAATAGGGTTTTAATTAAAGTTCAAATCGAATTAGTTTACATTTAATTATATGTGTAGTATTCAAATTTCAATTACAATTATAATTTGGTTCACAACTTTCATAGTAATTACAACTAAGTACAAAACTTCATTGTAATTACAATTAAGCCAAAAACTATTATAATTACTATACTCAAGTTCTAATACTTTATAGGACTACCACAGGGACCTGATTGAACGTATATTATCTAAAATCCAATAATTAGATCATGTCTACCCTATCTCTAGACCACTCAATCTAATTATTAATTTTATTTTTTCATTAAAGATAGAAGAGTGAACTCTTGGATAATTCTGTAATACTTTCCTCTAACTTGTTGTATATATATTTTATTTGTCTTAGATTCGATAATTAGGTACAAACATAAATGATCATTACGCTATTCTAATTATTACCACTAACTGAAGTATTATTTTCTTCAACAGTCTTGTGAACTGATCACAAATGTCGAAATTTAGAGTCGTTAAATACTGAGCTCAGATTTTAATCATTCAACAGAAAATACTTAAATTATCGCTCTACCCATTTTTTTCAGGTGACGATTTTCGACACGAATTTATGTTCTTTACTTCACTTATTCTCAAATTCTCAACTCATCAAAATATTTAACCAATCAAATTGATTTCATTCATTGATGAATCAAAGAACTATTAAAATCGTGAAGAGATATACATAACCATGTTAATGAATTTAGATAAAATATATAACGGTGCCCCCCGGGGCATATTCCAGTGGTGCAAAGGATAATGGTGATGTATACTCAACTTTATTGGCAGCCGCAGTGTGAGGATTCGATTCCTGAAATATAGATTGAGACTCTTTGTGGACACCAGTGTACATGCAGCATTTGTTCCCTGACCTGTTGGGGCACATCCCGTGATTAACCTCTCTCGCGATGCTCCAGGGACGGGACGGTGGGGGACCTTTAAGGTTAGGGTTCAATCTTTTTATAAAATATACAACGATAAAATAAAATTTAATTCTCCGTACGATCATGCTATAGGATTAAATTCAACATGTGGTCCAGTCAATACATTCCAGGTGTATTCATTTCATCGTTAACTATTTCTGTGATAAAGATAAATCACAAATCCAAATAGTGAATCGTTCAACACGATAACCTTTCTGTATAAGATGTCAACTCTTTATATATTGATTGTAAATAAATTATTTATTGTCAAAATATAAGTTGCATCACATTGAAATTCTTAACGCAATTACCAAACTTATATTATCACAAGTGATTATAGACACTTTAATTCACATGCTCAATAATAAATAAATAAAATTAAAATTTATTTATTTTAAGCAATTATTTTATTATAAAAAAATATACAACTGGCACATAATCCAACATGTTACTCGTATCCCTGATGCGGTGTTGAGAGTACAAACAAATCGTTGTACAACAGAAGTGAGGAAACAAGCTGAAGCAGTAAGGTTTGGTGCCATTGATGAGATTCTTCCCAAAAACTTGGGAAAACCAATGGACATTTGGGATTTTGATTGTGAACTGTAGCCTAGTTTGATCTCGATCGATCTTGCTAAAGATCTTCTACAAGTTCATCCGAATACTTGTGATCTGGTAATCAGCATGGAGAATATTACGCTGAATTGGTATTTTGGGAACAAGAGGTCAATGTTCGTCTCAAATTATCTTTTCCAAATGGGAGGCGTTTCCATTTTGCTGTTGTTAAGAAAAATATAAATTGTATTATTATAAATTCTTGTGAATGTTACAATGTAGAAGACTTTATTTATAGGGTTATAACTAATTCTAAAAGAAAATAATTGTAAAAGGAAAGATTGTGTGATTATTACACAATCAATTACTAAAGAAAATAATCCTACATAATTGGAAAAATAACATAGATGTTATTCTTAACAATATTTTCCTATCTTTAACCCCCTGCCCCCTCAAACTCAATATGGGGTAGTGACAATCATATTGAGTTTGAAAACTAAATCGACCAAATCTACTCTTCCAAATTGATGTGAAGGATTTGCTTGTCCGGGACGTTACTCATCTATCACTTGGTATTGAGACAAATCTTGATGCCGCAAGTAAAGTCGTATGAAAAATTGGAGAGCACATGACCAACAATTCTGGTAGTTCATCTGGGGTGCTCAAGTTGGAAAGTAAGTCCAAGAATTTCTCAAACTTGGAATAAAAATATTTTGGGTGAAAAAAAAAAGGGATTCGGATTCGGATTTTCTTCTTCTCCTTCCTAAAGTTGAGGTTTTAGGTTTAGCATAACATTTGAAGCTGCTAAATCAATAGAAAAATATGGTTATGTGTATGTGATTTTCAACATAAGAGAACTCTTGGGTTTTTTTTTCAAGAGGCAAGGGAAGAGCCGATAAAGTTCAAGATACCAAACCTCCAAAGAAATTAGAATTAACCCCTAGTTTTTTTTTTTTAATAGGCAGGGGAAGAGCCGGTAAAGTTCAAGACACAGACCCTCCAAATAAATTAGAATTAACTCCTAAGAACAGGGGGAAAAATCTCTAAAAATTAAAACACTAAAAAGAGAAGAAGAATTAGGAGAATAATAAAACTTGCAAAAACAAGAACACGGGAAAACAATTTCCACGAAAAAGAAAACAAGAAACAGTTGGTATTGTTTTATATTCCAGAAAGCGTTAGTGCATGAAACTCTAGCCATGTATAATGTCACATAATGAAGATTGGTAATTCCATGTACTTTAGGCATTGGTGAAAGATGAGGTTTCTCAAAGGTTGAACCCCAACTTTAAGGGTCCCCTACAGCCCCATCGCTGGAACATCGTGAGAGAGGTTAATCGCAGGATGTGTCCCAATAAGTCAGGGAACAAGAACCGTCTATACACTGGTGCCCACAAAAAGTTCCAATCTATATTTTAGGAATCGAACCCTTACACTGCGACTGCCAACAAAGTCGAGTATACCTCACCTTTGTCCTTTGCACCACTGGAATATGCCCCGAGGAGTGAAAGAGGAGGTTTCTCAGATGTTATTAGAGGAGGTTGCATGCTGACATGTATTCGGTGGTCAAAAGGACCAAACTCCAAGAAGGATAAAGTTTCAAACACGTAGTGAAAAACAACCCAGGTTCATAACCTCAAGAGTATCTATGTTTAAAACAAAACAAAAAATTTGGCCGGACAAGTGGCCGACCTTCGGTGGAAACGAAATTCAAAAGCTGATTTGTTTAGGATCGAAACTGCTCTAATACCATGTTAAGAAAAATATAAATTATATTATTATAAACTCTTGTGAATATTAAAATATAGAAGACCCTATTCATAAGGTTATAACTAACTTTAAAAGGAAATAATTGTAAAAGGTAATATTGTGTGATAATTACATAATCAACTACTAAGAAAAATAATCTTACATAATTAGAAAAATATCATAGATATTATTCTTAACAATACTTTCCTATCTTTAACAGCTGTCAAACAAATCATTCTATTGCTTGCGATCCCAGTACAGATTCGTCCATACCGTTAGAACCCACAAAGGTTCAGATGATAAATGTTTTTCTTGCTTAATCTAATTGGAGGATTCCCGCAGAAAAGTCGGGGTTTCTCTGTCGAAGGATTTGATGGCAGTAGCTGGTGATGCTTTAAAGACGAATATTACAACTTTGGGTCCTCTTGTGCTTCCCAACTCTGAACAGTTGATTTTCTTTGCCACTTTGATCAGGATAAATCTGTTTAAGATGAAGTTGAAGCCTTATATTCCAGATTTCAAATTGGCTTTCGAACAAATCTGCGTTCACGCTGGTGAAAAAGCAGTGTTGAACGAACTAGAGAAAAACCTGCAGCTATCCAATTGGCACATGGAGCCTTCGAGAATGACACTTCCACCGATTTGGAAACACACCGAGCAGCTCTTTGGTGCGAAATGGCATATTCAGAAGCCAAAGGGAGGATTAAGAGGGGAGACAGCACATGGCAGGTAGCCTTTGGATCCGGGTTCAAATATAATAGTGCAGTGTGGAAAGCTGTTAGGACTATAAATTTCTGTTAACCGTATGTATTATCCATTGAATTTCACGAGTTCCCAGTGGAGTTCCCGCAGGTCTCAGCTCCTTAATATTTCCAGCTCAAGTTCTTTCTTCAAACTTCTGTCAAAAATGCCCGGTTTGTATTTGCCGGGTATTCATGGCGTTTTGTAGTTTCCATTTGAAAGTTTAATCTGCAGTCGACCTGAGATGCCATTCTTGTAACCTCATGGTTCTATATTTTTTACGGGGGTTACTTTACGAATGTGCTACGGTTCTACTTTCTCATTTTTACCATTTCCCAATCCAACAAACACATGAAAATAATGCAATGATGAGGACACCATAACCACATCTCACATAGAACAAAACTAGTTTGTCCGTGTTTGCATTAAGTGCATTAACGTGATACAATTGAACCGATGTCTACACCATGACATACATATGAAATGGCTGAAAGAAAACCAATCATTCATTGTTTGCATCCAAACATGCGACAAATAGAACATCCGCAGTCTACACAGCTTAAGCCTAATAGCAATATCATTATCGTCTATTCCTTGGAGGATTTGTTGATGAGTGACTTGTGTATATGAGGGATCACTCCACCGCCGGCTATGGTTCCTTTGATGAGAGTGTCGAGTTCTTCATCTCCACGTATAGCCAGCTGCAAATGCCTAGGCGTGATACGCTTCACCTTCAAATCCTTGCTCGCATTACCAGCCAACTCTAACACTTCAGCAGTAAGATACTCTAAAATAGCTGCAGAATAGACAGCGGCCGTAGCACCTACTCTTCCATGAGCAGTAACTCTTGACTTCAGAAGTCGGTGGATACGTCCCACGGGGAACTGTAGGAAGAAGTAATGAGTTAGAATCTTGTCTATTTCTATTACGAGGAACTCGAAAGAATGAAAAGGTTAAAAAAATCTGCAATGATGTAACAGAAAATGGCAGACAATAAATATTTCAAAGTTTATAATAATATTTTTCTGCCACGAAATGAGTCATAAACATTTGGACCTGGGTGAAAGTATATAATGTCCACAAGTGAAAACTACTCTTGAAGTCAACGAGGACTATTTACAAAAGCACCCAACAAATTGTTTTGACATGTTATCATGAATTTTAACTAGAGCGGTATCTACAAACAGTATACTATCCCGTAGGAAAGCGATACAGCAGAAGTGGCACATAAACACAGAGAGACACGAGTAATCCATATGGTAGTAACTTCAATGTCAGCGACTACACTACCTGAGTTTTCGTCTATGCTCCTAAGGCCATCTCCAACCCATTTATTTCACTAAAATGGTGCAACTTTCATACCATCTTATTTTCCAAAAACAAAAATTGCAACTATACTCCCAAAATTTTCAAAAAAGTGCAAATACATTATTTATTTTTTAAAAAATTACAAATAAAGAAAAGAAAAATAAAGAATAAATTGCAACTATAATCCCAAAATTTTTAAAAAAGTACAAATAAATAATTAAAAACAAAAAAAAAAATAAATAAAAACTTTCTTTTTATAATTCTTTATTTGGAATTTATTTGAACTTTTAGAAAAAGTTGGGAATATAATTGCAATTTATTCTTTATTTACGTTTTTTGTTTTATTTAAATAGATGGGTGTATTCTTACCGCTTTTAATTGAAAAAATGGATGACATGATGATTTTCGCAATGTGACGATGAAAAGTATGGACGTTTTGCACAATAAAGTTGAAAGACAAGAACGTTTTGAGCTAATTACCCTTTTAATAATTTATTTGAACTCATTTGCAAATTTTTATAAAGTTTGGAAGTATAATTGCAATTTATTTTTTAAATTCTCTCTCTTTTTTTTTTTTTTAATTTAAATAAGAGGATATGTTTGTCAATTTACATTTTTTTTTATTGAAAAATTAGATGAAAATTACCTTTTCCGCAATGAAAGGTGAAAATAAAGAAGAAAATGCCAAAAAATAAAAAGTAAAGACGTTTTGCACGATAACATTGAAAGATAATGGCGTTTTGTGCTAATTATCCCTACTAAAATTACTACTTAAAAATCTAATTAAATTACATTGAATATTGCCTTTACTAATAAATTAAAAAAAGGTATTATACTTAATACCAGAGAAAAATGTATTACCTTTAACATCACAATATAAAAAAAATTAAATATATTTAAAAAATTCAGAAAATAAATCATTAAGTAATAAAAGAATATAATAGGAATTAAACTCTGTTGTGGAATAATGAATCACAAGAAAAAATATGAAAAATTAATCAGATAAACAGTGCTGCAACAGAAGTGCAACAATGTTCATTACACCAATTTGGTGTCAAGATTTGAGGTCGAGTTGGATGAGCATTTTTCAGCAATTTGATATGGTCCTGAAGAATGGTCAAATATATTTATCCTGATGGCTTGAATAAGTTCAAAGCAATCAAAGAAATCTAGTTCATCGATCATCATCAAATAAAATTTCGCTTCTTCAAGCGGCCTCAAGAAAACAGATGCAGCTAGCTGGTACAAAGGTATTTATCATAATCTTTGATTTATTTTGCTCCAATTACAATCATCATAGTGCTTGGAATTCGGATAATAAAGTCAAATCCCTCCATAGTTTTTAAGTAAAGAAACTACGGGGAAAAAAAAAAGCCTTAAATTATGCGAGAATATACTCTCACCCACGATTCCAGCTAAACAACAAATTTAAGATTTCCTTTTTCGGAATCAGGGTTTTCTAGGTGCCAATAATATATACCTACTTCGTACCCATTACACGAAGCTCTTAAAAATTAACACAAGATTAACAAAAACATAGATAAATAAAACAAAAGAAAATAAATAGAAAAATAGAAAAATGCAAGAAAATCGACGAATTTAATAATTTCAAAAGAGACCTGAAGGCCAGCGCGAGAGGAGCGAGAAACTGACTTCTTCTTGTCCTTGTCTTTGTCCTTTGATGCCGGTGTTTTCCCTGCTAACAGTCCCTTGGCCCCTTTTCCCGACATTTTTGACGATGATTTAGGATTTCTTCGATTCGAAGAGCACTTCGCGAAGAAGAAATTGACTTCGAATTGGGACTCTTATCGGATTTAGGAATTTTTATATGTTTCCTTTTTGCTTGAAAAACTCCATTAATAGCCCTTATTCGTCGTTCTCGTAACGAAAAAGGGCCCATATTGTAGGAGGCAAGTATTTCAAATAAGGGCTGGCCCAGATAAACTCCAGTTTACGGCCCGAGATCGTTTGAGCCCTATTCTGCTTAAAGAATGTATTTTGAGGGGGATTTTTCTAAATGACCTGTCACTATTCATTCTTGCTAAAATGTCTATATTACCCTTAATAAAATGGCTTGCCATATTTTACACAAAATATCCTGATTTATTGGAATAGTTCCAAAATTTTTCTATTTCTCTCATTTCGAATTTTAATATATAGTTCCATCCTTTGATCTAAAAAATTAGCATAATCTGTAATATAATTGTCATACAATTCTTTAAAATTATCATATTCCTTAGACGATATATCCATTGTCTCTAGTTGAGAAAAATTATTTTTTATTTTTTCTAATAGTCTTTCTAACAGATTATTTAATCTCTTAATTGTATAGCCTGACAACATATAGATAATTCCTTACAAACTTTATGATGAATAATAATAACATGATAGATAAATTTTTGCAAACATGATAAGTAATAATTCCTACAATTATTTCAAGATATTAGAAGAATTCTTTCTAAATTTAACAAAGACAATAATTTTACCTTACTTTAGATCTTAAATCTGTATTCTTAGAATCGAGTGACCTTCAAGCTCTGAATCTGCAAACTGCTCCCTCAAACGGCATTTTGCCTTAATAATAATTTTGCTATTTCAGTTTCTTGCCTTCACTGTATCTTTTCTTAGAATTAAGAATAAGGATCTTAAGTAGAGAAAATTCTCTCTTTGTTAAAATAAGAAAGAAATCATCTTCTTCAATCCGTCAAGAATCTATGGAATAGGAAGTTTAGAAACTCATATTTTTCTGATATCAAAAGATTGAAATTTTATTTCTATAATAATTTATACAAGATTTCTATTGTATATAAGAGATTTCTAGAAAAACTGGTTTCAAAGAAAGCTTAAAGAAAGTGAATGGTTTCTAACTCGAGATGATCCATTCTTTCCCAAAGACCTCTATTTATACATGACTCAAATTTACTATTATTGGTCTATTACATCATTGCATACATCAGAAATTGAAAAAGGCTCACATGCATCTCTATTATTTTCCTCATGGGGTCTACATTTTCACCTGCGTTTTTTGCTTTTTCATCAAAGAGACATATTTTCCTCTATTATTGCATCTTCATCTTTGGCTCCATATGCAACTGGCTAGATACTTTGGTAGTGGTAAGTCCCCTTTTATTTATCTCCATTCATCTTTTATCTTGAAGAATCAATCTTTTTAATCTTGTCTGCATGTGGGGCACTCCCTCAATCTGCATGATTTTTGGATTGATGTAGGACTTCCATTAATTTGATGAGTATCAAATTTCTGGATATATTTTTTCAAAATAATAGATTTTTCTTTTCCATTATTCGTAAGGAGTGTCCATCCTTCATATTGACACAAGCATCTGAATTTTTTATCATATAAGTTCTTTGCAATGTTGTAAAGAACTTTCATCCCCAAAACTTTTCGGGATTTTATCCATGATTTATTGATTTTAGGCAATGGTTTATTATTTTGGCCAACTTCAATCTGGAAATTTCGGCCAACATATCCAATTGTGATAATATGTTCAGCAGGATAGTATATCCTTCCATCAACCTTGAGACTTATTGAATAAAATTTGATATAAATCGATCTCCGTTGGGCAAATTTTGAAACTTTTGCCCTGAATATGTTATCAAATTTTTCAATTTCTTTTAAATCTTTTCCTAGATAGATCAAATCCAGAAATCCATAATCTGGTGCCATTTTGACCATGAAAGGGTCTGTATCTTTGGTAATTATTAATCTAGGATAAACATGATCTCCTGATACAATAAAATATGATTCATTTTCTTCCAATTCATAAACAATTTTGGAAAATGATCTATATTCTTCTTCTTTTGATGATAAAGGGGTGTCATCATCTTCATCAATTTTGATCCTGATAACTCTTGTATTTTCATCAACATTTTTTATAGTCACATTCCGGGGACTTGCTATATCTCGTTTGATATTGTTGGGTCCACTGCTGCTTCCTGGCTGTGTACCTGTTTGTATTTTTGAGATTGTATGTATTGGTATTTCCTGTTTGGTATTTAATGACTCGAATTGTGAAATAATATTATCAATTCTATCGTTCAATTCTTTGGTATATTTGGAATGAGAATTAGAGATTTCCACCAACAATTTGACATTTTGTTGGATAGATTCTGTCATTTGCTCTAATAACTCAATTCCAATTTTCATATCTTCTGATTTCTCCATGAGGAATTTTATTCGTCTTTTGACATTAATGAATTTTTTATATTATTCATCTCCGAATTCGATATTCCTGCTCAAAAAATCTACAAGATAATTATTTATTCCTTTAATATGAATAATATCAAAATTGTAGAATGATAAATATGTTTGTCATCGGTGTAACCTTCTATATTGAGGTTCCATAGGTAACTTATTTATAATAAGTCCTGCAACTTGAGAATTATCAGTTTCAATAATAATTTTTTTAGATAAAATGAATAATGAAAACTTTTTTATTCCTCTAATAATTGCTAACAGTTCTTTTTCATGAATAGTATAATTAATTTCTGTTTGGTTAAAAGTTCCACTTAAATATTTGCATATTTCATTTAAATCTTTTTTTAATATGGCTGCCCAATATTTATCCGAGGCATCAGTATTAACAATTAAATTATGTTTTTCATCTGGTAATCTTAATTTTGATAAATTTTTATATTCTTCTTTTAATGATTTAACAATTTCAGTATGTTCTTTATTCCAACCTTTAGTATTTGTTTTTTTAAGTAGAATTTGTATCTCGTGTTTCTTTTTTGAGAGATTTTCAATAAATCCTTAAGCATAGTTTAGACATCCTAAAAATTTTTGTATTTATTCTTTGGATTTTAATTCATCTGAAAAGCTTTCTATCTTTTTAGATATATGAGTCTGTAATTTTATTCATTTTCTATCTATTGATAATCCCAAAAAATCAATTTCTAGTTTCTCAATTATAGATTTCTTTTTAGAAAGTACAATTCCTTCCTTTTTGCATTTATTTATGAATTGTAATAAATGATTCATATGTTCTTTTTTATTATTAGAGTATATTAGTATATCATCTATATAAACAATAAGAAAATCACTAAACTTTTTGAATATATTATCCATTTTTCTTTGGAATACTTGAGGTGCATTTTTTAAATCAAATGACATAACTAACCATTCATATTTTTCTTGAGCTGTACTAAAATCTATATATTGTATACTGTCTTCTTCCATTTTTATTTGTCAAAATTCTAATTTATAATCAAATTTGGAGTAATATTGTTTTTCTTTTGCAAGGTTTATTAGGACTTTTTTATTTGGTAAAAAGCAACCATCAAATTTAGTATATTTATTTAGTTCCTTATAGCTTATCACCATTCTAGTTTTTCCTCTAATCTGCTCAAAATGTTTCATAACCATAAAAGATGGACTACTATGAGGTCCATTACTGGATCTAATTAAATTTTGTCCTAATAGTTCTTTTATTTGAATTTTAAATTCTTACATATCCTGTAAGGTATATATCATTGGTTTAACTCTTATTATAACATTTTCTGTTAATTCTATTTTAGCTCTAGGATGATATGATTTCCAAAATAATAATGAGTTTTCTCCATAAATTTTTTCTATTTGTTCTATAATTTTTTCCATACTTATTTCTATTTCTGTTTTTAGGATCTTTTTATATGATAGTTTTTTATTTTTTAGTTCATCTTGTATTATTGGTCGTTTTTCCCATTTATCACCACGCTGGGCTGACTGAACTCTATAGGGTCTAAATTCTCTTGGTATTTTTAATAGATGTGCATAAGGTGTTTATAACATTATCATGTAATTATTTTGTTTATAATATTGAAATTGTTGGATAAAATTATTTCCTAATAATATATCACATTCTACTTTATTATAATTATATATTTTATTTATTATAACTTGTTTAGTACCAAGTATTATATTAACTTTTTTAGCACTATCAATTATTTGAGTGCTTTCTCCAGTCATTCCTGTTATTTTTATTTTACTATTTTTATGTCATGATTTTATTAAGAAATTTTTAAAAATTGTTATATCACTTCCTGTATCAATTAAGACACAAGTTGTTATATTTGTTTCTACTATAGTAAATTGTATATATACTGCTAATGAAAAACTTATTTTAATTATTCATCCACTTCCTATTTTACATAATGCAGTTTGTCCTTTATGAGTTATATATAACCCTTCTCTTTTTATACTATAATCTTCTAATCCATTTAAGAAATTCATTCTTAATAATATATAAGGTTCAATATCCATACTTTCTTTCAAATAACATGGTACTAAGAGATCAATCCCAACTATTTTTATTGGTATATTTACCTTTAATTCTGTAATATATAGTTGTCCATCAAAATTCCTGTATTCATATGGTTCTATCTTGTAAGTCATTAATCCTTCATTTTTAGTTGCAGCCATATGACATTCACCAGCTCCGTATCTATCAATATATTTGGTCCTTTTATATACCTTCTACCGTTGAAATATTTCCTTCTATTTTCATATTTCCAACATTTCCATGAGGTTTTATTTCTTTTATATCACTAGTTTCTCCTAAATATTCTTTTTTATTAGGTAATATAAGACTTTTTTATTTCTTTATTAACCTTCCATTATGAAATGTTATTTTATAATCTTCTTCTTCTCTTAACTCTGTTATTTCAGCCTTATTTTTAGTTATATTAAATTCATATTCTTCTGAAATAAAATTTATCTGTTTGTTTGGTTCCACTATTTTACTAACATCCTTACATTCCTTATGAATTTCTATGTATGGTTTATTAGAATAAATATTCCCATAATTAGAATTAGTAAATGTATATAATGCCCTATATTCCATAGTCATAATTTG